TAAGGCTGGAAAATTGGTTCAAATTGGTTCAAATTGATCACTGCTGCCTATTGGACAAACGGTCCCCTCCATGACAACAACCACGAGCACTTACTGTTCCTGTGCAATGTAAGAGAGGAAGAAGGCCTTTTCCATTTAAGGCAGTTTTATTGTTCATTAACATCTAAATAAACTATGTACTAAATTATTGTTGCTGCCGTTATACACTCACAGAAATCTGAGATTAAATTTTAACTTTCAGTTTTCATAGTTTCTCTGGTCCCCTCCGTGACAGTCTAAATGAATGACTAATTCCCTCCACATGTGGAAGAAGTCGTTTGGAAATAGTTTGATTYAAAACAATTATTAGCTGTTCTATCCATTAGAAGTCCTCAGTGAACTGAATTATATTAAGCTGGGGAGCTATCCATGATATTCTCTTCTGAATTGTCCCCTCCGTGACATACAAAATACCCAATAAAATAAAATACAATATATAACCAGTAAAGAGAAGACGGTTTGCTGTCCTTATTGGAGAAGCCTACAATGTCTAACCATTTGTGAATGTCATAGCAAATGTAGTGTTGGTCTGGCTCAACCAGTACCTGTTTATCAGCAAGCCTTCATCATGCGTGTTACTACAATTAACTATCTTCAACACATTTAACACTTCAAAACAATGCCACTTACTGGTTGCATCTCTTCTTTAACACTTGCTATGCAAGGGTATGGATCCACAGTTGGCATCTGAACACCTTCACAGGTACTTCTACATTCACGTGGTGGACTATGAGGGGACTGACTTCCAACATCCAATGAGTGGTCCACTCCAACGCTAGGTGGGGTGATGATTCCAACAGAGGAAACATTTGGTGTTGAGGTGGATATGAAATCAGATGGTGCAGAACTTTTAACACCAGGAGGAGCATTGGGCAAAGGAAGTTCATCCGTGAGAGTAAGTGGAACATCATTAGTTTCATTAGAGCCAGTAGCATTTACGTCTTCAGAAATGTCCTCATCAGACCATTCAGCATTACTTGTGCCTTCATGGAAATCTTCATCATTAACCAGAAAAGAGTCAACTTGGGAGGCATCATTGTTAGAGTAATTTTCTGGGGTTTCATTTTCATTTCCATGTGTCAAATCGAGGGAAGTCTGAGGGCCTGCAAAGACATCAGAAAGATGACAAAGACCAAATGGCTGGTTGGAAGGTTCCTCATCTGTTTGGTCAGTGTTCCCAGCATCTTCAGGAGTATTCCTTTCCAGTGAAGGCTCATCTTGGGTGGTCTCTACATGTGTCACATTTTCTTCACATTCCTCTGGATCTTCATGATCTGTTGTGACATCATTTGAGCTTATCGTATCTTTGCCAAGAGAAAGAGTATCACTAGATGGCTCTCCATCCACAAGACTGGTGCTCCTCTCGTCATTTGAGAAATCATCTTCATTGGAGGGCTCATCTTCTCCACATTCCCTTTCAGCTTCATCATTCAAGGGTGACTCAGGAGGACTTTCAGTGGTGTAAATGCTGTCATCATAGCGATTGGAAAGTCGTGAACTATTGCCAACAGTTGATAGAAACTTTATGATACGTGTGCAGCCACTGTTCATGGCAATGTCCCTAGCAGTAAGTTTTTTGTTGTTCTTGATTGTCATGTCTCCTCCAGCATTAACAATTGCACGAAAGGCAATCAAGCCGATATCTTTTTGGGCCAGATAATGCAATGCTGTGTTGCCATGTTGGTCCCTTGCATTCATTATTTGGGCTGTTTTCCCTGACAGTTCCTTAGCCTTCGCTACCATTCCCTCAAGGCATTCCTCATAGAAGTCGACCTTGTTACCACTTAAAAGTTTTATTGCAGCAGCATGGAGTGGTGTTTGCAAGGCTTTATCCTGTAGATGAAGACAATCTTTTAGCAGATGTATCATAATCTTGGTCTTGTCAACTAGGCGTCTGATATTGCTGTAGTGTAAACAGAGAATACATCTATGCAGGGCAGTTTCTTGAGTGTCTGATGAACGCACAGTGGGGTCAAAACCTAACAGAACACATGAAAAAAATTATGTAAATCATACACAGGGTTGTAGCTGGTTGTAGCCAGTCCCCGGCTGGACCAACACTCAAGGTCTTAAAACAAGTGAGGAGAATATGCTACCTTTCTATATCAAGAAATGGTTAGATACTCTAGTCTTCTCGGATAAGGACGAATAAATGGAGGTCCCATCTCCTGCAGGGTTAGGGGTAGGAGACGTTAATTTCCCATGCATGAG